CTCGTGTCCTGTCTTAGCCCTCGTTCACACCTGACCGTTTTGTAGCGCGTTCTACGCTCGACGAACGCTCTACAAAACGGTGAAAAATATAAATTGCATTGTAGTCAATGACCTCGTTCCACCTTGCCGTATTTCCGCCCGTCCCTAACGCCCTACAAAACGGCCCACGCCTGAAAAGGTCCCGGGACTACTTTGGGCCGTTTTGTAGGGCGTTTTCCATTGGGATACAGCCAAAAGTAGCCCTCGGAAACGCGCTTTTTTACCGCGAATCGCGGTTAAAAAAAAAACGCGCGACAGACGGGCATATACAATACGCCTAGGTGTGAACGAGGGCTTAGACTAAAGCCTAACTCGCTTTGTTACAAGGAGAGAGATCCTGACTTTTCCATTTTCTGTGCAGTGAACCCAAAGAAGGACAGCGAGCACACACCGGTGAAGGGCGGAGTGGTGGCCGATCTGGGTAAGTCCTCCTGCACACCTTCATTGAACTATTTCGGTGGGCCATTGATGGATTGGCTTTCAAAGCGATGAAACTCTTTACTGTGATCAGGAACAAGTACATGGCGACAAATCTGCTTATAAGTAAAACATCAATTTTGTTATTGGGGATAAAACCTTCCAGGTGATCACTTGCATTGGAAGGGCTTTTTATTGCAGGTTCTTCCCTTGTTGTCTTCTGTAGATACTGGGGAAGGCCATTGTACTTGTCGTGTCTGTCAATTATAGTCACTGTGTGTTGTACCAGGACACGTCACACCCCAAATTCCCTCCAGGCTTCTGGAACTGGCAGCAAACTAAATACCACGGGAGGGGACAGGATTTTATGTGCACGGAGATTACAATGTAAAGGTCATTATTAAAAACAAGAACTCGGGAGTACGACATTGAGCGCTAGCGCTCCCCTCCTCCCTCGCTGCGCGGGCTATTTGTAGAATGGCTGCTGAGAGTCGCACTATGCGGGGCCGTTCGTGCGTCTCCATAAGCCACCGGCTGCTGCTGAGCACGCATTGTCCTTGGCAATGTGAAGGTGCGTACAGCCGCACCGCCGGCATAGAGCCGCGTCCCCC